GCATATATCAAAAATGAACATTGGACGTTCTTTGCAAAACAAACAGAAAAAGGAAAAACAGTTGAAGTTTATTTGAAAATGAATTGTATTGATTTTGAAGTTTGGCCTGTAAATAGGCGTTTTTTGTACAAGAGGCTGACGTCTTAGTAAGGGAACAACCGCCGAATAATAAAATTTACACAATTTATGAAAAACTAAACAAAATAGCTATGTGAATAATACCACTGGGTTCCAACTCTGCTATTGTCTTTATGTTCTCGAGCATCTCATCACTTTGCTACTTGGTTGAAGGTAGATCAGATTGATTAGTGTCGTCCGAGCTTGATAGTTGATACCGAAGTCTGGTTGCAAAGTGATCCAATGAGACATAGTGTTATGCTTTAATCCCTAATTTTTTCCTGGACCGCCCTTTCGGGTTTTCAGTCCACCGGGATACCCTTTTTTGCCCAAGCTGCCCTTTCAGGTTTTCGATTTGCCGGGTGTACAATTTTTTTCATTTTCATCCCTTATTTTTGCCCGAACCCTTTTGGTTCGCTGGGAAGCCCTTATTTTTGCCTAGGCCAGTCAACCTAGCGGGTCTTTGTTTATGCGTAGTATCTTTTCACTATGTCCGCATTGACGGGGTGAGGAAGGTCGTCACCATCCATGGTGGTTAGAATCATAGCTCCTCCTGAGAAAATATTCTTAACCACAAATGGACCTTCGTAAGTAGGGGTCTATTTGCCCCTGGGATCACCTTGAGGCAGTATGATGCGTTTGATAACCAGGTCCCCAACTTGATACTCTTGTCGTCTAACTTTCTTGTTAAATGCCTTGATCATCCGCTTTTGATACGTTTGACCATGACAAATAGCAGTAAGTCTCTTTTCGTCAATTAGGTTCAGTTGATCAAGCCGGGTCTGGATCCAGTCATCTTCGCTCAAACCTGCATCCTTCATAATCCGAAGAGAGGGTATCTGGACTTCAATGGGAAAGACTGCCTCCATACCATATACCAAGGAATAGGGGGTTTCCCCTGTTGACGTCCGCGCCGAAGTACGGTATCCATGAAGAGCAAATGGTAATATCTCGTGCCAGTCTTTGTATGTCATTATCATTTTCTGCACAATCTTCTTAATGTTCTTATTAGTTGCTTCTACAACCCCATTCATATTCGGCCGGTAAGGAGAAGAGTTGTGATACTGTATCTTGAACTGCTTGCAGAGCTCGGTGATCATCTTATTGTTGAGATTGGTACCATTGTCCGTAATGATCCTCTCTGGTACACCGTATCGACAGATCAGATTGTGCCGAATGAACCGTGCCACAACGTTCTTAGTTATTGTAGCAAAGGAAGCTGCTTCAATCCACTTTGTAAAGTAATCAATAGCTACCAGGATGAAATGATGCCCGTTGGACGCAATAGGTCTGATCTCGTCGATCATGTCAATGCCCCACATTGCAAAAGGCCAAGGAGCTGTCAAGACGTTCATAGGTACTGGAGGTATGTGCACCTTATCAGCATAGACTTGGCACTTGTGACAGGTCCGAGAATGCTGATAACATTCGGCTTCCATTGTGGACCAAAAATATCCTGCCCGTAGGATTTTCTTTGCCATGGTGTGTCCACTGGAATGAGTTCCGAAAGTACCTTCATGTAACTCTGCCATGATCCTTTCTGCCTCGTTCTTATCCACACATCGTAGTAAGGTTGAATCATGATTACGCTTGTAAAGGATACCATTGCTAATGAAGAACTTCACCCCAAACCTCCTCAGAAACTTTTTGTCATTAATAGATGCACCCTCGGGGTACTCCTGAGCCTCGAGATACCTCTTTACTTATATATATATATATATATATATATATATATATATATATATATATATATATATATATATATATATATATATATATATATATATATATATATATATATATATATATATATATATATATATATATATATATATATATATATAACAATCTAATGTATCTATTTAGTAATGTACGAATGTACGAAGAGAAAATTTAAATAAAAAAAGAAAAAGAAAAAACTTATCAAATGTGTAGTGAAAGCTCTTGATAGAATAGATATTGAGAAATTGATAATAAAGCACTTGGATTGAATGGATTAGAAAATTTTGAATAATGACTTTAAAAATTGTGGATTTGGGAATATTAGAGAAGTGCCTTAAAAAATAATTTGATATGTTTTGTTGTAAATGAAGAAATGGGAGGTTTGACGCGTATTTGATTAAAAATACGTTAGATATGTATATTTGTATTTTTTTTATAGAAATACATCTCTATACTATTTTTTGTTAAAATGAAAGAGTGATTCATTTACAAAATGAATGTGATGTGGATGACACATCTGAAAATACATATCCGTATTTTAGAAATGTATTTTTTTTATTTTTCACAGTTGTGTGAACACCGGTAAGAGTGTAATAAGCAATCTTCAATTGTATAGCATAGTGGGAAAAAAATGAGTTAACATGTAAATTGTAATTGACGTTGAAAATACCTCAACAAACTTCAACTTCACCATATGCCAACTCTTGTTTTCCTTTGCTTATCCAAGAACATTTTCCTCACCTACTTGCTCACTAACAACTTCATATGTTTACTTGGGGTGTTACATATGGACGTCTCAAATTTTTGGGGATTTAGCCACAATATAATTGTTACAAAATATTTAAAGAGTTTATTTAACTAGTGTTTAGCCATGATAAATATAAAATAAAAATTTATTTCATTATAATTTAATCGTGAAAAAAAATGAAGCTCGGTATTGTAGCTCACTTTTGACATTTATCACCGGCACTAATGTTATAGCAGTCATCTGTCAAATTGATTCGTAAAGCTTGCATTTCTAAAATCAATCTTTGAGAAGGCATCTCAGGACTAGTTTTCAAGGTTCGAAGAATATGTTGTTATTTAGTTCAAATTTGAAATTATATTTATATGGTAATGGGGAATAGCGATGAGTTTTAATGGATATTATGTTAGAAAAAATATATTTTTCTGTTCTTTTCATTTTAATCCCTTAATTTTTAATGTTAAAAACGGAGCACTTGAATCCTCAATTTCTTCCAAACGGACGGTTGTGAGTGACATGGCTCTTCTTCTTGGTTTTCCTTTATTTATTTCCCAGCCACATGTTTGAATCTTAAAGGGTTTTTTGTTTGTAAAATTAATTTGGGAATAAAGCACAATGGAATGAAGCTATCTCTGAGACACTAAGCACAAGGGAATGAAGCTAGCTCTTTCATTATCACTTTCAGGTGTTTTATTTCTAGCATTCGGTTGCAGAAGGAAACAGAAAATATGGGAAGTGAAACAAAGTTCATATAGAGAACAACATAATGTCTCTTGTGATTCAACAACTTGGGTTGCTGGTGTCAAACAAGCATCAGTTCCAGCAGTAATCTTCGAGAAGCCATGATTGAATATAACTTTTGCCTACCTCTTATCTTCAACTTTGAATTTCGATAGAGCTACCCTTTGGAAACATTCAATCATGTTGAATTGGGTCCCCACAGTTTCGGGATCTGCGTTTTGTTTCCAAGTTGCAACCCAACAAAATGCTTACAAACTGTTTGCTAAAATGCCCCAATGAAATAACGTTCTATTTGTACTAATGGAGCAGAAGTTGAGATTGGTTTGTTCATGGTAATGGAAATCTGAAACAAGAGTTGGTTTGTTCATGGTGATGGAAATCTGAAACAAGAGTTGGTTTCTTCAAACAGATGAAGTCATAGACATGGTTCCTGAAAGTTCAGGAAGGGGAGGGTGACGCCTTACTTCTGCAAAGAAAGAGAAATTTAATTTTTTTGGTTTATTTTATTGTTTTTAATCCACCTAAGCACTAGGTGTATGTCAATTTGCCACTTTTTTTACTTTGACTAATGGTCTTAACAGAAGGGAGTGCTCCATTTTTAATACTTAAAGAGATTGATTTGAATATTTTAAACATTTTTAATACTTAAAGAGATTGATTTGAATATTTTAAAAACTAAAGGACTAAAATAGAATCCGAGATAAAGTTAAAGTAGAATCCGAGATAAAGTTAAAGGACAAATATATATATTTTGCCATTATGTTATAAGACCTGCCATAGATAGTTGCCATGCAACACAATCTTAGTAAAAAAATGTGTTAACAAAGATGATTCAATAAGTAGATAATAACAAAATATGAAGTTGAAGGAGAAAAAGAGAAAAAAGACTTGAGTAATGAGTTATAGAGTGATAGTTTTAAGGTGGTTTTAGAAAAGGTCTTAATTTGAAGTTGATCACAGTCACCTAACAAAGTCGCACCAACTTTAAAAAGATTGTGGCACAACAAAATGTTTCAGACATCTAATACTTTGTAGTTAATTATGGTGAATCGAGTTTCAAAACAAGACAAATGCACAAAACCTGAGAATATATAACTTATAACTTTGTTAATACGTTCACATTCTCAAACATAAAACCTCAAGGACACAACTTTCACCCCCTCCAAAGTGAAAGCAAAGACAACATCAAAATTTCATCATGTGGAGGAAAAGAAAATGAATATAACTTCAAAAAATAATAAAACACAAGAAAATTTGCAACTCCAAAATAAAAACTGAGTAGACACTTTAAGGAACAGCAGCAACCTGCGAGAATAAAAGTAGTAACCATTATTATATAAGTGAATAAAAGTAGTAGCCGTTATATAAAAGTTTTTTTGATTGAAGACAGGTAAATTTGTCATTTGATGAGACTAACATTAGAAATTGCTACACTACAACATTCAGGATTATGGGGACAGAGAGAAGTTTATGGTGTTCAGTAGAAAACTGATATACCATTTATGTCAAACAAGTTTTAATATTTCTCGAAGTAAGCGTACCTGATAAAGGCGGTGATAATCTGCCGTGCCAAACAGCTCCACTTAACTATTAAACAAGACATTTGTTCAAAAAATACATTATGGGTAAAACAAAGAATTGGATAAAATTTTCAATCTGCCCATTGTTCGTATGGTCAGCCCATTGTGGAAAATGTTGACAGTGCATTTGCGTGATCTGGTGAGAGGGCGCTTAGAAGTGGTTGCATTTGTGGGCCGTATAGTGAAATTAGATGACAAAAAGCTCTGCCTACAAGAGCTTTGACTTCAGATGTTTCAATAGGTGATGCCGCCACTTGAGCAAAAATATTAACTAATTCAGGGATAAGTGAAAGTATCTGCGTGCATTTAAAAATGGACAAGCACAGTTAGGTAGGACAATGTTACTGCTTAAGGAACACCAAAACAAAGAAAGAATCTCAATTTCTAACAGGAAACAATTACCAGTGGATTTGATGAGAATACAAGAGCGGAGACACAACTATAGACAGCCATGGACTCCTCTTGGTCTTCTTTCAATGGAAGAACTCTCATGAAAACAGGAAGAACCTGTAAAAAGGAACAAAGACATACGTAAACAACATCCAATAAGAAAACATATATCACGTAGAAACAACAAAATTAGAGGTGCAACATGCTATAAGTTTATAAATTCATATTGAATTGAGCGACAAGTGATACAAATACAGCAGGAAACTACCTGATTTAAAGGAACAGACTCAGGGTGCACCATAATCATCTTGGCCACAGCACCAGCTGCATTATCCCTCACTGCATGATCAGGCTCAGACTCACCAAACAAGGGGTGAAGCCCACGTAATATGTTGTCAAAGTATCTAGTATTGGATTAAAGAAATTGCAAGGTATATAGGATTCAACCATAAAAACAGAATATGTTACTAAAATAGATTGACATAAATAATCATGTAAGCCTACCCCCATAAGCTAACCTAAAATAATAGAAAGATTAGTGTATAACAGTCAAAAGGGTATCATGAACAGGATACTTCAAAGCTGAATCGCCACCATTTTTGCACAACTCCCCAACACAAAATGCTGCGTTCCTTCTATTTGTCGCATCAGATGACGCTAATTCTTTAAGAACCGTAGGCATTACTCGCTGAGAAAATAATATCACATTTTACAAAACAACAATTCTCAGAATGCTAAAACTTAAAAAATAAAATTAAAAATCCAAAAAAGGCAACAGAATTACATCCACATAGTCTGCAATAGGAAAACCCATGTTCTGAGCAACTTCAGCAAGGCAGGCAACAACCATGGTCCTATCTTGAGGAGGACGGAAAGCTTTCTGCATTTCAAAGAGAGAACATTAGTTTATGATTTAATTCTACATTTTAACTGTAAAACTTTTTGGTTGCAAACTCACTGCAAATTTCATCAAATGATCAAATAGATTTACAAAAATGGGAGCAAATTGAGCACCCATGGCTTTCGCAAATGCAGGAAGAAGATCAGAAACTGCATCCATAAGAACTTCATCATGTGAACTATCTTCGTCATCAATTTCACTGTCTGACTCTATCTGCTGACAAGCAGATTGCTCCTGGAGCAACAGTGAAGTTGCATGTACAAGCTGGGGCAAGTCTGGTATCAGAAAATCTCACATTAGCATTAGCTCAGCAAAATAACATTAGGGGACAGGCAACTCGATGCTTACATGGTTCAAGAGTTGCATAACCGTAATCTCTAATGATGTCACCCACGTTAATGCAAGCTTGAGCAACCACTTCCTTGTCATCATCTTCAACCATAGTCTTGATGAAAGTATTCATCACAGTATCTGTACAATCAATCAGACACAATAGATAAAATAAACAGCTCGTGATGACAATAACACAATTTAAAAAATTGCTTTTCCAGACACCAATTAATGTTCTCACCAAGAATTTCTTTTGCTTTGGCAGCCCCTTCCTGAAAAGTAAGGCTAGTGTCATTTTGACGCGAGTAAGAAAAATGCTTAAAACAAAAGAGCAAACACTTAAATTCAGAGAAAACACATTTTTGCCACATATTATGTGGTAGCTCTCCACATGATAATCATGAAAAGCAAAACAATGGTTGACTAACCAAAATGGCAACTCTCACTGATAGTGTGTTAGACAGAAGTATGTTTATGAGTAACGTGTCAAACTTTTGGTCTAGACTTCTAGTAGAGCATTCAGCGATATACAGGTGTCTAGATGCTTTAAGAAGCTTCTACACTTCCTAGTTAGCTATTCTAGTATAGTTAGTTAGCATTAGTTAATTATTTGCATTTATCTACTAGAATCGACAATTTTAGATCAAGTTTACAGCAAGCAACTATTTGATTCTGTCTAAACGTTTCTCTCACTTTCTATCTTTCCTTTACTTTCCCACGTGCAGTATTTGTAATATAACGGTAAAAGTTAAAACCCTATTAAAGTATGGTAAACATTAAAAAAAAAAATAGGACCGTGAAACAGAATGGTAATTAAACAAAAGTTGAATTTTGAAAAAGGAAATGGTGAAATGAGAAAATAAGGAAGGGAGCACTGTTTTACATTTTGGCTTTGGAATATTGCATGGGCTGCAGTTAAAGTATCTGCAGTTAAAATCAAATACACATCAGTATTCAATGATTATAATATATACATAGTCATATATAAAACTGAGATATTTGAGAGCACATATAACATAGACATATGTGCATATATGAATCCTTGTGAGTAAAAAAGGTAAAATATCATGAAGAAGGGTCAGTTTACTTCCACTGATTATTCTTTATGGTTTGACTGCTAGGTTTAACGTATCAGCATGGGATTCTTGGGTCTACATCATTAAGAACAATTTTAAACATGGTAAAACACATTTTTATGCTGAAACAACCAGAAACAATTACTTAAGTACAAGATTCCTGTCATGCATTAACAGCATGAAACAAACTGCAGAAAACAAGAGTTGTCAAAACAAATAAACACAATTAAAAAAAAAATCAGAAAGTAATTTCCACCTACGTTTTAAACCAGTGATTGCCTGAAGTCTAACATCTTCGTGAAAATAACTGGAGTGTTTAACCAAGATTCTTAGTGTCTCCTCCAAATAGCTTATCATGATTTAAGAAATCAAATATAACTTTTATTGTTGATTTCTGTCATAGAGGAACAACTAGAATAGAAAGCAAAATGTAATCCAGCCAAAGGATACGGAGCATAAGAGACAGTTGTATGCTGTGCAAATAAACCAAGGGCCTGGGTTGCAGCTGCCTTTTCATCCAATACGCCAGTTCTAATACTTATATTACGAACCCTTGGCTCGTCATGGGCTTCGTCGTCAGATGAAACTCCTTCAAATCCATTGGCAACTTCATCATCGCAATCATCAATGTCAATAGCAGAGCCATCATCAAGATTGCAGGAAGAAAATGCAAGAGGCACAACATGAGGAAGATACTGTTTACCAATACAAAATTTCACTAGTAAGAGTAAGCATGATATAGGAATTACATTAAGTCAATATATATGCAATGCAAGAGGCACAACATGAGGGAGATTCTGTTTAGAAATACAAAATTTCACTAGTAAGAATAAGCATGAAATAGGAATTACATTTAGTCAATATAAACAGACCTGTGCGAAACTGTCACCCAAAATCTCAGCAATATTGCTGAAGAATCCATGAGTGTACTCCCGAAGTTCGCTATACTCCAAACCAAACCCCTAAAAATAACAAAAGAAATCAAATTATTCCAGTAAGAAGGTCAAATGCAAAATCAGCAACAGTGTTAACTGTAAAGGTAATTACAGAAATTGCAGCTTCTATATAAGGAGGTAATATTGGTTCCATTCTCGTTTTCCCTACAGACATTGCAACCATTCCAACTAGCTCTGTTGCTCTTGCACGTGAACGGAGATCCTCATCATTAGTTAGCACCATGAAGTTTTTCATCAACTCTAAAACCCTTTCAGCATAAGGAAAGAAAGCTTGCTCTGCAGCAGAAGCAATAGAACCAATAGCAGACTGCAAGGGTGTCCAGGAGGAAAGTATAGATTTAAATATCAAAATAAGTACTTAAAAGATGTTTCATCGTAGTTATAGCAATCTTTACAGCAAACAGAATCCTCCCCATACCATGCATGTTTCTTTTAAAATGCGAGAACTGTTTTGGAGAGATGCTAAAAGCCTTCCCATTAACGAATCTAGAAAAGGAAGGATTTCATGACCCATGTTCTCACAAAAAGCAGCCAAAGCATAGTATGACTTTTCCTGCACAAATTAAATGCAATTCTCTTAAAGTGCAAACATTTTTTTGGTAGTAGCAGATCATCTATTATTCTATTATATTGATAAACCATTCCCATCTCCAAATATATACCTTCACTTCATCAGATGCATCATCAAGAGCATTTAAAATGCAGGGAAGGACACTCTCATAATGGGACACGATTTCAGGCTGTAAGTACTCAGCAAATTGACCCAAAGCAAAGGAAGCTGCTCCTCTAACCATTTGTTCGGGATCCCTGAGAGCTGCCAGGACAATATGGAGAACAGGCTCCAGATTTTGTTTCATGAGTTCCAAACAACCTTCAGAAATGACACCCAATGCAGTAACAGCTGCTTCTCGAAACTTTGGATTTGCATTTTGATAGCTTACAGAAGCAAATTCAAGAACAGGTGGGAAAACATGCTTTGGTATGTTCAAAGCCATTGTATCAATAACTTCTGCAGCAGCTCGATCAGGTGCAAGATCATCATCTTCATCTTCATTGGTTGATTCAGCAAGCAAAGGGCATAAAATATGTAAGATAGGGATGATCAGCTTATGCTTTTTCAAAATATTGGACTTGTACTTTGCCAACCAAGAAATAATCTGAATTGCCTGTTAGATAAAGTCAGTAACATCAAGTTAGTGAGCAAAACAATTTGGAAAGCAAGAGTATAAAAAGTCATGGCTATATACTTTATGATCCAAACCAACCTGATGGCGTGTGTTAGACTCCAGACTTTGAGTTGAGCAAACCTCAAGCGAGAACTGTACTATGGATTTGACTGAATCTCCAAGAAGAGGAGCAGGAGATTCAATCAATTCATCGAAAATTTCAAAAGCAATTATAGCAACATCTTCTTCTCCAGAGGCAAGGCACTGTCTTGATACATGTAAGATGCTTGGAATAAACTCACGAAACCTAATCTGTATATGATAAAATTTAAGTAAGCAAAACTTGAATTAAACACAACATCATTAGAAGCAATACACTGAACTGAAAAGTTGATTACAAGCCTCTAACTGATTTCATTGTAGCTTGAATGCAATGAATAATAAAGGATCAATGTTGAGTTACTAATGCCACCTATGATGTCTAACACCATGAGAAAAAATTATTGCTGGGTGAGAAGTTATTTCAGATAACACATGCTGTGTTTTATTTTAAAAATCATTTCAGCTCATGCTGGTGCAAAATACTGAACAGTGAGTACGACAATTTGTCACTGAGACCCTATAAGTTAAGTTAAATTCCTAAAAATGCTGGTAGTCTAAGAAACCATTCATAAAATTGTCACTAATACCAACAAAGTAAATTAAATTCCTAAAAATGCTGATTGTCAATGAAGCCATTCATAATAAAGAAAACTCCTAATAAACTTCCTGTATCAACATACTTCTTGGGGTCCTATGACAATTCCTTGACTAGCATAAGCTCAACCAAAAAAAAAAGTTTAATAAGGCCTATGAAACATCAAGGAGTATTTGATACTTCAAATTTAATACAAATTTTCCTAGAAGAGTTGAATTTGTTGACATTGTTCGTTCTTCTTATTCTCCTTCCTTTTACCCTTTTTTCTAATGGTTTTTGTTAGTTGTTAGATTATACAGATATATTCTTATATTCTAACAGTTCTGTAAAACGAGTAGATTACAATAAATTAATTAATTAATTCAATTCTACCAATGTACGACTTTTAGCATGTATCATTATGATAGATTCGGATTTAAAAAGGACAATTGTTCTTTCTGTTAGCTAGCCCATTAGTAGATCAGTTAAAGCTGGTTGGTTAGCTATTAAAAAGGGGAAATCAGATAAGGGAGACGCATTCAGTGAAAGAAGAGATCCTTTGTGAAGGGAAAACCCTTGCCGGACATTCATTTGCATTTTTTATTGAGATTTCAATAACACAACTCTAACATTTTGGTTCCTCCTATCATCTTCCATCTTTTTTTCTTTGAGTTCCTAGTAGTCGCATATTGAAATTTTTGAATTGTGAACTTAAGATAGCTAAAATGACAATCCTTCACTAAATACTGGCTGGCAATGAGCGGACATAGCAAACCAACAAAAAAAAATTTAACAGATACAAGAAATATTTCAATCACGTGAACAACCCTGACATACGTACCACTTCATCCCCATCATGAGTGAATTCCATAAAGGATCCCACTGCCCTGGTAAAATTTAGCACAATTTTACATAAGCAAAAACAGAAAACTCTAATAAATCATTTCTTTCAAGTTTGTACATACACAACAGAACCAATAAAAGATTCTAACTTACTTGAGAGCAGCAACTCGAACCCGGTTACTAGTCTCATCCTGCAAACACTTGAGTAATAGAGCTTGAAGATCTGCGAAATGCGGGCGAAAAGCATTCCCAATAGTTTCCGTTAAAGAGCTAAATAGAATCAATGCCACCTAACAATATCCCAAAATCAACAAAACAAGGTCAAATTCAATTACAGATTTCACATAGCAACCTCAAATAATAATGAAACATCCAAGTAAAATCAAAGCTCCATAGTTGTTCTAATCTAACTAATCTACATGTCCACTACATTTACAAATGAAATTAAGTGAATTATGTAACTTACTTCACGTTGATCCTCTTGAGGACTCTGACTACTATGAAAGAGAAACGGAAACAATTCTGGCCACTCACCGGACGGAACGGCGTACTTGGCAACAATGCTAACAACATTCGCACTGGCTTTCCTAACAGGAGGACTGCAATTGCCATTAACAAAATTAATTGATTAATTGATTGATTAAGCGATTAAGAGATGTTTTAGTTGAAGAATGAACCTGTGTTCTAGGGTGATGCTTTGAATGAGGGAATCTTTGACGAGTTGTTTATCGTGAGGAGAGAGTTTGGACCAATGACCGGTGATTTTTTTACGGAGGAGTACGGCGGCGAGTTGGCGGACGTTAGGGGTTTTGGCGGTGCGTAAGTGAAGAATGAGAGCGGGAACGACTTGAGGATCTTTGGCGAGGCGTTTGATTTGGTCTTCGGCTTGACGGCGAGCGTCGTTGTCTGGCATCAGAAACTGAATCAGCAAAAGCTCCAGAGACTGCGCCATCGCTGTGCGAGGGTTTTGCTTTGAATACACACAACAAAATGAGGACTATGGTGGAGAGTAAGGTTTTATACTCAATTGATTATATTATTACTGCCGCAAAACAGGGTTTTGGTTTTGGTAAATTTTGAATTACTGTCATACTACTAATTTACTCTCGCTCGTGCCGTTTTTTTTTTTTTTGTGTAACACACAACATCAACATAACTCACAAATGCCACAAATCTTACATATTTAAGTCTTTTAATCATTTTGTCTAGAGATACATATCTACGAGGGAAGTCAGTTTTTTTCAATGAATTTCACCAATTGCAAGTTAATTTCAGCAATTACAAAAGGTTTTTTTTTTTAAATAATCAAGTTTTTTAAAATAATTATATCTTTTCTCGTTCACAGTAAATCTTCTTGCCAATATTTACTAAGAAATCTATTATTGAGATGGTACCTATTGTCGAGGTCTGTTGGAAAATCTTCTGTCGAGATCAACCAGAAGAATCTACTGTCGAGATTTTGTTGAAGAATACCTACTATCGAGGTTTACTGGATAATCTTCTGTTGAGATCAACCAGGAGAATCTACTGTTGAGATTCAATTGAGAAACTACTTACTGTCGAGGTCTGTTGGAAAATCTTCTATTGAGATCAACCAGGAGAATTTACTGCCGAGATTCAATTGAGAAACTACCTCCGGTCGAGGTTTACTAGAAAATCTTCTGCCGAGATCAACCAGGAGAATCTACTGCCGAGATTCAATTGAGAAACTACCTACTATTGAAGTCTATTGGAAAATCTTCTATCGAAATCAACCAGGGGAATCTACTCTCAAGATTCTGTTGAATAATGATCGTCTTGAGATGTGCATGACGCGTGGTTTATGTTGTGCGTTATGATTGAATATTCTTTTATGCATGAAGTACGATGATTGATTGATGCATGCAAATGTTGACTGTATGATGTGACATTGAATATTGGGCTATTTGACTTTTCATACTTGTGTTACAAGACTTTTTGTTGACGTATGATTCATACTATGGGGATATGCCCGATGAATAAGATGATATGATTCGATGCTAGAGTGAAGCGACATGATTAATGCATGACAATGATTTGGATGTTTCAAGGGGGGGCCTGTGGTGGGCAATGGAATGCTTAAGACTTAAAGAGTTTGCCTATGTAACAAAGATATTTGTCACACGAAGGTAAGATGTTATGCCAACATGATTCCTGACACTCGTTTTGAACTCGATGATTGTTGATGTAGAAAGAGCTAGCTTGAGTTGTTAGAAAGTATGAAGAGAGCTTGTCCCTTTGTGGCATGTCTTGCCCAATCCGTTGGGTCTTTGCAGAGATTCGCCTTGATATAAATTTTGAAGCAGTTTGGTCATACTATACACTGGCCCTACTATTTTAAACTTTGAAACATTATGCCCTTGATTAACAGACTATTTGAATGATTGGTGCATTATGTTCTTGAGGCAGTCTGCCCTGGGATGAGACTCATAGACATTTATCCTTGATTAGTCGGCTCTTGTAATGAATTACCACTGTTGAACCATTGTTTTTGAAGCGATTTCTTTTGATTGAACTTTGTAACGGTCTACCTCATCATTTGAATCCTGAAGGATATGCCCCTGATTAATTGGTATATAGGAGTATCATGGGATGGAACTTGGACCTCTTCGTGCTTTGATATGAACTTGATATGGACTTTCCCTAATATCTAAATCTTGCAAGGTATGCCTCAGAATTTGAATCTTTGACAGATATGTCTCATTAACTAGTGCTTGGAGGTGTGACCCAGGTTGACTAGTTCTTTAAATGATTTTCCCCTGGTCAATGGGATCTTCATATGGTCTGTAACACTCCAAAATAGTTAGATTATTTATTTAATTACTTAATTATATTATAATGAGTAATTGTGATGTATTTGTGAGTTTATGTGATGTTTTGATGAATATGATGTGTCATGTGGTGATATGGGTGGTATAGTGGGAAATAAGGAGACATTGAGTAGTTTAAATAATTTTAGATAATTAGAGTAATTATTTAGAATTATTTTAATTAGATAAAAATAGAGATAATAATGATAATGTGTAGAAGTACTAAGGACGAAGTGGTAATGTCACGTGGATTAGTGAGGGTAAGATGGGAAGACCATAGAAAGGGTCCAAGGATTAAACAAGGAATGTAGAAAAAAGTGTGTCATAGTGTACGATCGTGAAAAGAGTTGGAAGAACGTAGTAGAGTTAGGGCAGGAAGAGAACAAATGGATTTTTGGTAGAACACAAAGAGGAAGATTAAAGCTAGAATTTAAGGTAAGGGGGTTATCATTATTATTATGATTGATATGGGGTTTAGATGTATGTAGGTTGTTTGAGGTTTTTATGATGAATTGATAGCTTGATGATTGTGATGAATCTTTGATGAAATTGTGAATAATAGATGTTAATAATGCCATGATTTGATGTATGTAATGTGTATTAAGAATTATTGTTGTTGTACGATGAAAATATGTGATTTGTATGAGTTTTGGGTCTGTTTGGATGTGAAATCGTGTGGAAATTGGGACGAGTGCAGTGCAGAAAATGCACAGGAACTTCCTGTTCGCATTGTGTCACCGAGCAAGCACATAGCTTCGTCGGGCGAAGGGACTTCGCCCTTAACGCGCCAGGTGAGGAGTAAGTGAAGGGAAGGAGTGAAAAATAGAGCCCCTGGAAATTATATGGGAGAAGTGGACTCGCTCCAGCATCGTTGCGCGAAGCAGAGGCGAGCTGAGCTCGTTGGGCGAATGAACAGACTCGTCAGACAAGGGAGGCAAAAGGAAAACAATGCTCTTGAAATTTTTTATGGGAAGGGTGATTCGCCCCATCCTCGTCGGGCGAGCCTCAAGCGAGCAAGTTGGTTCACCGGGAGAGCCTCAAGCGAGAGGCATATGGCAAAATCTTGAAAGTGTCATAACTTGAGTTTCCAGACTCCATTTGACACACTGTTCGAAGCGTTGGGTAGATTATACGATGAACTATAATTAGGTGGAATAAAATGAGTAATAGGATGTCTATTTCCAATACCTTTCTTGGATTAAACTAGACCTAAAATGATGAATTGTGATAATATTATGATGAATAGATGTGATTATTCGACTGATGCAACATGATGTATATTTGTAAGATGGATTGATGTTGTTATGATGATGCTTTGTGTATTATTATGTATGTGATGATTTCATGAATGATGATGCGTTTTGAGTAGCAGTGGTCATGTTTTATTGTGTTGTTGTGTATCATGCATTCATGGCATATATTAGAACTTCGGTCCAGTGATGTTGTTAGGACGATTGGTACAGTGATGATGATAGGATGTTAGTCCAGTGATGGCATCAATCCCATAGTATGGATCGAATGCAATATTATGATGTGCTCTGGTTCCGAGCGGGAATCGATCATATGGTGGGGATCTTTGGAGAAAGATGACTTGGTCATTAGTGAAGTTTTGGTACCACATGCATAAGTCAATGATGTTGCATTACATTATATGTGACATTGCATAATAATTGATTAAGTGATGATTGATGATGTTGTGATTTCAATGGTGTTTGATGATAGATGTTAATGTGATAATATGATGATATATTTGATGTGTATTTGATGATCAGAAAGTGAGAGCATAATATATGAAGTATGATGATATGTGGAATCTAGGATGATTTATTGTTGTGCTACTATATATGTTTCATATATTTTATAATAGTTTGTGATTACTCACCCTTTTTGCTTGGAAATGTTGCCTCTATATGTGGGTAACTTGTAGGTAACCAAGAATAGACGTAGAAGCTCGAGGATAGTTTTATGGAGTCTTTTAGTTGTTTTATTTCGAATAAAGCGGGTCTTGCTCTGATATGTAACATCGAAGTCTTTGGGATCATTTGAATTGAACTATATGTTCCTTGTTGACATGATTTATCGAGATGCTTTATTTCATTTTAATATGTTTTAAGTATGATTTTTGAATTATGAAGTATGATGGTATTGTATTTGAAGTGTTTAATAAAGATGCTTTGAGACAATAATTCCTTTGTGATGTGTTGAAGTTTCATGATGACATTTCCAAAGAGGTGAATGTTTTAATTTTTGAAAGCCCGAGTTATAGAGCAAGATATGCATGTATGATGTTCTTATGAAGCATGTGACACCCTTGGTGCATTACTCTTATTTATTAATTATAATATATATGGGATTTTAGAAAGGCGTTACACTAGTGGTATCAGAGTTGATCGGTCTGTCCGACCAGGTTTTCTTATGATGTTCATGTCATGTCGATATGTTGTTTTCTGACGTTGGTTTTCCGATGTGTAGAATGGCTGGAAGAAATGATGTTGCGATTGCTACTGCTTGTAGGTTATTGCTCAGGTTGTGCAACATCAGCCTAATGTTGGCGGGAATGATGAGTCTCGTGTCTTGGAGACGTTTCAGAGGAACCACCCGCCTATTTTCAAGGGTAGGTATGATCCTGATAGAGCTCAGGCTTGGCTCAAGGAGATTGAAAGGATCTTTCGAGTCATGGATTTCTCATAGGCACAGAAGGTGCGGTTTGGTATGCATATGTTGGTAGAGGAAGTGGATGATTGGTGGGTTGGAACCCGACTGATACTGGCAGCGGTGGGTGAAGTTATTACTTAGGTTGTATTCAACAAGGAGTTTTTGAGGAAGTATTTTCCCGAATATGTGCGCGGGAAGAAAGAGATTGAGTTCTTGGAATTGAAACAAGGGAATTTGTCGGTGATTGAGTATGCTTCGAGGTTCGTAGAACTGGAAAAGTTCTATCCCCATTACAGTGAAACAACTGATGAATTCTCGAAGTGTATCAAATTTGAGAATAGTTTGCATCCGGAAATCAAACGGGTAATTGGATATCAACAGATATGTAGGTTTCCAGAGTTAGTGAACAACTGTAGGGTCTATTAAGAAGATAACAAAGCTCATTTGGCTCACTACAAGAGTCAAGTGC